GTCAACATTGTCACAAGTACAAGAGCAGGAACGCCAAACTACCAATGCTTAGTCCCGATATACCCACTTTGCCGTGGCAAGTAGTCGGAATCGACCTTTTCTACCACGAAGGCGATAAGTACCTCGTTGTTTTAGATTTCTATTCTTTTTTTTTCAAGATCAAGCAGATGCATCGAACTACGACAGAAGCAGTGACAAACGTGTGCATGCAAATCTTCGCCACGCACGGCATACCAGCAAAGATATGCAGCGATAATGGTCCCCCATTCAATAGCGCGTGCTTCCGTATTTTTTCAACGCAGCTGGGCATCACCCACGTCACTTCCAGTCCGCATTACCCTCGCGGTAACGGCATGGCTGAAAGGGCCGTCCAAGAAGCAAAGAAACTACTGAAGAAGTGCTGGTTTGGAACACTGGAGTTCTACAGTGGCCTGCTTGAATGGAGAAACATGCCAAGGGATGACCGCCTAAAGTCACCTGTCCAATGGCCCGTGGGTCGACAGACGAGGACCAAGCTGCCCGTACTATACTGCCACCTAGAACTCCAAACCGTGCCAACCGAAGTTGTCCGAAAGCGACTCGGCGAAATACGGCGAAAACAACGCGTCTTCTACAACAGCTCAACGCGGAATCTACCGGAAGGGCACAGTGGGTCCACAGTATCGGTTTACGATACAACAAGACCTGGGCACCAGCAGTCATCATGGCGCGGCAAGTACAGCACGCTCTTATATTGTTGCGACTGAGAACGGCCAGCATCTACGACGCGCGAGAGAACACATCAGGTCAACAAATGGGCAGGTTTTCTCACAGCAGCCAGAAAGCGCGACAGCGACCGCGCGTTCCAGCCAGCAGCCGTGCACCACCGAGCAGCAAGCACCTCGAGAAGCGCTGCGTCGAAGCACAAGACTGCGAAGATCGCCACAACGCTATCCTCTCCCAGAGCGCCCAACAGAAACTGTTCCGCGGATGTAGTGCAAATTGAACTTTGAATTGTTTCTTCAATGTGCCTTCGTTTAAACATTTTGTGTTCTGTTTATTTTTTTTCAAAGGAAGGAAGATGTGCCCAGGTGCAACGTCATCAAGCATTGCAGTGACTACGCATGCGCAAGCCTGCCCTGCCTCTGTACAAATACACCGGCACCATGCAATAAAGGGCTCTTTCGTTTCCTGCTGCACGACTGTCCACAACAGGAACATGAGAGGCTTGTGTTAATGCGGCGTGTATTCAAGACGTGTTTAAGGCCTCTCACTTTTTTAATTAAAACGTGCGCTGGTGCTCCTGCACAGGAGGTCCTATTTTCTACAAATAAACCTTTTGCAAGCACACTAGCGCCGCCAACGGGTGCGCAAGCGCTTATGGGAAAAGTTGGTACGCCGCAACAGCCACCGCGACGAGCGAGCGGGCCTGACGCTTCAACTTTCCGTTTGCACCGTGCCAGCGCTTCTCAGATCAAGTGAACTCGGCAAGGTGTGATATATTACTGCGTGATTCACTCACAAACTTTAGTGTTTGGGTGTGATGACCTGTCTACGATTTGCACTTGCTCCCCTGTTCCATGAGCTGAGCGGCTCCGAAAAGTCCGTTAATTATTATCCCTTATTGTCAGTATGCCTTCGGCATATATAAAAACAGTATAGCTTGGTTGCCTAAAAGGTGCAAGAACTGTTCATCAATTGACGACTGCATTCGGAATCACTGTGTCCTTTGACGTTGTTTACGAGTAAATTGTAGGGTTCTGGCATATTTAAAGAGAGCTTTAGAAATAAGTGATATTTCGTAAAATAAACTACATCGACTTGACTACTGCGTGCCGTTCGCAGCATATGAGTCTACAAACATCCATTGGAACTGCAACTGCGCGTTGGAATAAAGCCTTCAGGGCAAAAAGAAAGAGGTAGGACCAAGAAAGAAATATGCATACACCGGAAACTCTCACTCAGTACTAAAGGGGTTATCGAACGTGTTGACAAACATTTATAAGAAAGTGGGGCTGCATCGCACATGTCACAAAGAGGTACAAAGAAACTAGCAACCGAAGCACGTGTTTATACAGTTCATCAATAAAATTAAGTTTCGTGTTAAGTTTCTTGTGTTGTAGCTATAGCGAAAGTTAATCGGCTTAAACAAGGTGCGGTGTCCTTGATAAGCCTCCGATATTTTTCGCGTGATCTTGTTAGGCTGACTGAGCTAGATTACCAGGCCTTGAAAGATGGCACTGCATTTGGATAACTGAAAATGCGAGGTGCGTTGTGATGGCTTCAATGAATAAATTTTGATGCTCTCTGCGATTCGTGTTGATACGTCCACCAGTCTGACTAATGTGTACATGTGACCACAAGAGGAATTCGAGTAGCAACTCTTGCACAACAATTGAAAGAACAATTGGCATGCCTCTAGTATACTTTTCTCTGCCCGCTGCAGACCCTTGCTACCTTTTGATATCTACGGGGAAAAAATGTTACCAAGCATATGCTACGGAAAACACACCCTTCACCTCGTATCGCTTCTCAACTTCCTTTCAGACTGAGCAGAACGTATGCATGGAATAACTGCAATATTCCTAGTTTCTCTACGGGTGAAGGTCGTCCGAATCAATCTAGCTCTGCTGGCAGTGCGAATGAGCTGTTCACAAACCGATGCATCATGACATAGCCAGGACACTGAGCCTTCTTGCAGCTGGAAACTATTGCTCATGTAATGTGCCCAAGTTACTTTTGTTTTTTTTTTCGCCGAGCATAGGTACGACATAATTATTCCTCATTGTACAATATTTCATTGCACCGACGCAAAATTCCACTGTGGTCTCACTCGATGCCGAATATACTGCCAGCAAACATTCTCCGCAGAGACATTTAAGCATTTTATAAGAAACCGCAAATCATCAGAGCAAGGTATCTCGCACGTGAATTTTTGTTCCATATTTTCGTCTTTAAAAAAAGTTTAAAATGTGTTTACTTTTTCTTTTTTTCATCTCGTGACGTATCTGTAAAAATTTTAAAACTCTATAGCTGTAACACTTCTCTGCAGTCTTTTGTTCACGGCCCAATCAAACAGCGATGGTATTAAAAGCCATAGCGCTGTATGATCAGTTCATCGTTGACTAACTATGAATTGAGTGTTCCGGCACATTCCTCACGATAGCATGTTTTGACCACATGTATCGGTACGCAGCAACTCGCATGCCGCTCATCTTCTAGGGGTTGAGGCACACCCGTCCAGTGATACCTACGCTGACGGCGTTATTCATTTCACATTTCGCGCGTATATGGGTTGCCCCAATAACTTTAGGCAGAGTTTAAAAATATGCCGACACATGCAATTACGACACGACCAAATGCGTGTTGCTGACAGTTGCCTGGAGCTAGACTATTTTTTTGTGTTCTGAAGTATTCTTTATTTGACCTGTTTAATTAACTAACGTTTGAAAAAAAAATGAAAATGAATGAAATTTTTAAATGAGAAAGATGTAGATTAGTTTGCAAAACGTCTGATTACATAGCTTTGAACTTTATATGTGTAGAGCATTAGTTTTTCTGCTAATTACAAATGCCCGCGAAATACAAAAAAAATACCACGTCACAAAACCGCTCGCGCGGCAGTGCGCACGATGATTCCAGTGCTCAATAACAATTTCAGTGCTCAAATGCTTAGGGTGAAACACGACCAGCTGCTGGAAAAAAATTAACTGGAAAATGTGGGGGAGGGGGGGGGGGGCAGATCCTATACGTATTGGGAGAATCGATGATATGCAAAGCACAAATGAGGAAGGTTGATATGTCACTTTAAAATCAGCACAACGTTACGGGGCGGACGCAAATTTTATGATGCATCACTTTTATGTCATGATTATCATGTTTGCACCAGTCATATGCATTCGTCATCTATTCATGTCCCGTAATACCAAATTTGGTATATGTGAAGCTGGCGAAACTACCGCGAGCGCACCATGAGCGTGGCATGTAGTCATGACTTACATGACTTGCATGTCATGATTTCCACGTTAGGGTCTGCCACTCGTGTTCGCCATGCAGTCTTTTCGAACTATACCAGTTCTGCGACATGTCACGTGAACGAAATCACCGCTAGAGCAGCAATACCAGGAAATGTATATCATTGCATTCATGACATTCATGTCATGATTTCCATGTTATGACCAGTGACTTATGCTCGTCATGCAGTTATGTTATGACATACCAATTTTGGTATCGATACCATTATCGAACAACACGGCCGGGAGAGGTAAAAGTCGTAGATAGATAGATAGATAGATAGATAGATAGATAGATAGATAGATAGATAGATAGATAGATAGATAGATAGATAGATAGATAGATAGATAGATAGATAGATAGATAGATAGATAGATAGATAGATAGATACGCTTAGTCACCGAAGTTCGCTAAAAATTCTTCGCATTTAATAATCAGCAGCCCCTGCCGTCGTTTGCACCACCAGACGTTATCCAGCCAGGCTCACTCGGCTGTCAAAAATGCCCTGTCGCGGTGGTCTCGTGGCTAAGGTACTCGGCTGCTGATCCGCAGGTGGCGGGTTCGAATCCCGGCTTTGGCGGCTGCATTTTCGATGGAGGCGAAAATATTGTAGGCCCGTGTGCTCAGATTTGGGTGCACGTTAAAAAACCCCAGGTGGTCGAAATTTCCGGAGCCCTCTACTACGGCGTCTCTCATAATCATATGGTGGTTTTGGGACATTAAACCCCGCATATGAATCGACCGTTAAGATTAAGCTCTCTTCGGCTGACACGTGAGGGGCCTTCGAAAATTCCCAGGCCACACTGCCATAGGAATACGTGGCATAGTGGGCTGGGAACTTTTGACGGCCACTGTATACTTGGATGTCGCACGAGGAGTTCTTCACGTAACCACAGGGGCGCGCTGTAGGGAGAGAGAGAAGCCGGTTGAGCGAGAGGAGGGTAAGTGTCCTCCTCCTCTATTCTTTCTCTCAGCTGCGGGGAAGAATGACAAGAGCGGGCCCGTTCCGCACGCACTTGCACTCGCGCAGCACATATACGGAGCTGCGGGTGAGTAGACACTCATTGATTCTTTGTCCCTTCGCCGAGCTCCTCAGCGTTCCTGTGCATTGTGCCTGAGCCCTGTCCTCATCCCACACGCGGACTGCTCTTCCTCGTAAAGGCTGATTTTGGAATCACACTTCCGTCGCCACCTGCCACTGGAGCTTCGTTTCCTCGTCGAACGTGCTTTGACTTTGCTTCACTGGTGAGTTGTTAGCATCCGCTGCCTAGTCGTCAGGAGCGTTGTCGTCGTGGTCAGATAGCGAAGCTCGTGGACTCCGAGTGCAGCTCAGGCGCTGCTCCCCCCCTCTTCCCTGAGTTGCGTTCGCTGATCCTTCGAGCGTTCGTTCACATAGTGACACAGCTTTGAGGTTGACCGTCTTTATTTTTTTCTTTCCCGTTCATTCTGCCCACCCGCAACCGTCCAGTCTTTCAGTGGCATTCAAGCGATGCTGTCACGCGATGAATGAGACGTCCAGTGCCTCACTCACACAGACTCTGAGGCATGATTCGTCTCAATTCAACACCACTCTGTATTTATTTTGCCAACATGGCCAGTCACGATATCGGACTCCAAATATTAGGACAAATTACGGGCAAATATTATTATCAAATGAAGCTATACAGATTTTGAGCATACAGAAAGACAATAAATTGAACAGATAAGCAATGTAAGCTCGAAAGAATGTATAAAACGTGATAACAGCATGCGTGTTGTAGGCTGTCGTTACATTAATTTTTGCTTTACTACTGGCATTTCCGCATTTTATTGTTTATGTACGTCCATTGCACTGAAGCATTGCTATTCGATACGAATCTATAACGCTATACAAAGTCCTGGTTACTTTACCTAGCGGGTGTATACTGTGTGAACCATTTGTTTATTAAATAGGCATGGATAATGTTTATTCTGTGTTAATTATATACATATCCAATGCATCTCATAACTTTAACCAGATGCAATCGACGCCATGTTTATTTCTGCTTTTTGGCTGCATATTGAGCACAACCCAAATTTCAATGTAATGTGCACTTAATCGTAGATATTTTTGTAAACGTTGTAGGAATAGAACCGGAGCACAGGCCTCGTCAAGCTGTTCCAGCCTTTAGTCAGTGTCTCTGCAAGAAATGCCCTGCAATAAAGTGGTTTTGATTTGATTTGCAATCTGCCGCGTTGTGGCCACCATTCATCGGTGTTTTAAATCCTGATTTCCATTCACAATGTTGGCATTCTGTTGGGGTAGAGTGATAAGAACAGAATTGTGAATGAAAAACAATGACTTGTGGTATATTACTTGCGTAAACGTTACTAGGACTTCCATGAAAACTGTACCTGACGTAGTTCTTACAACTGAGATAGCACGTACCACTTAATTTATCGCAGGCAGCTGTATTGTAATATAGCTATACGCTTCCTTCAGATCAATGATTTCTTGAATAAACGCTGGTGTAAAGCACCTGACGTTCTGAACCACTAAAAAAAAGCGTGCTATTCAGGATAATGTGTAATAAAGTTAATAATGACAAAAAACTCCAAGAAAGAGATGATGTGAAGCCGAACGTTTTTTTTTTGTTTTTTTTATGCCAGATGTTGTGCAGAGTAGCAATGTTGGTTTAGCTGTACACTATGCGAAATTGAGACAAATCTGTTTTTTTTTTAACCACGTGTGGCAACGAGGTGTAGAGTGTCAAAAACTATTTTGTTCGATACGATGGCCGTCCTGGTTTGCGAAACATAATAGAATAAGGCTTTGCTCGAAATGCGGCATTTATAGTGTGGGGGAAGCTTAACCAGATATACAGCCGGTTCGCACAGGTAAGATTAAAATTCGGTATAGAATTTCCATCGACTTTCCCCGGTCCAGGGTGTAACAACTGTTGAATGTATGGGACATCCTTGGCGCCTTCCTCAAACGGTTAGAGTGCCCCCACGAATGCACTCTTATGGGTGCCTGTGAAAGTAACCGTGCAAGTTGTGATTGCTTAAGTAAGCTTAGACGTTACACCGTAATGCATCGCAAAAAAAAAAAAAAGCCGCCATACAGTTTCTTTAGGCGAAATCGTCACGCCGCTGGTAAGCTTACCGAACCAGCAGAATATGCGGAAGGCAACCTTGTTGTCACATTTGCCCCGACTCTGTGCACCTTCAAGTTAATCTTTGTAGGTTAGAGAACGTGCAGGGGCGAAATCACAATGAGCACTGATATCGCAGCATGTGTTCCTCCCAACATATAACGATAGAGAAGCCAGAATATCACAGAATAAAACAGCCACTTGAGCATTTATGTGAACAGTGCATTCAGTATCACTAGGCAGATAAATCTACGAAACTTCTCTAACTGACCACGCAGCGTGTGACTCCGTGAATACGTCAGTTTATGTGAGGCAACAAATTATAATAAGCATTTGGCGCGCAATGTGCACTATTGTGTATATCACTTGTTTTCGCAATTTGTGATGACTAGGGGATAAGAGGCAGCCAGATACATTGAGCTTTTGTTGAAATGAACCTTCTACAAAGTGAATTTGACTTTATTTAGCTTTATTTTGCAGCGTACTGTCATATAGGATCAGCTTGCTGAAGGCGCTGCACTGTTCGAAGAGGCAGGGTGGCTAACCAAGCTTGGCTCGTTTCGCCCTACACTTGTAGTGGGAGAAAGGCGGAATAATAGGGAAGAAAGAGACAAAAAGGAGAGTAAAAAATCGATGGATAAATAGTCAGCTCAAGAACAAACAAAGTTTGGTCCAAAAAAGATTTCTGTTAAAGTCGTCATCATCACTAACGACAGTTTCCTTTGAATAGCTGGCACCAAGAGATTAAATTACCGAAGTCGAAAATACGTCAGAGTCGCAATGTTTCAGACGTCATCTATGCGGAGCTGAATTTCGGTCGCACCACGTGGGTTGTAGTTACTGTCTCCTTTGGAAACAGAATTTCAAGACATTGAAATTTCAGTTCATCATGGGTTAAATACCGGGAAACGCTCACAGATTCTCATGATTTCGTCTTAACGATTCTAACACAAACACATTACTATGTTCAGTCTTCCGATCATCACCCATTGACATTATCTCATTCGAATGATTTCCATACCTGGCGGACAGCTTTGCACAGTCAGACGGGTCTGTCGTACACCTGCACAACCGGCCTTATCCCTGGTGTGACGTGCTTGTAACGTCATACCTTTCCACTCCTCCTTTCTCACTACGTCACTCCCGCTCAACGTCAGGCCCACCAAAGACATGCTTCCTTGCATCACTGAAGGTCAGGACACGATCTCTGTAACGCTATGACATGTCAGGACACGTCGTGCCACTGATATAAGAACCGAGCCGCTTAAGAACACGAGCCAAGCTGTATTCGAACCTTTACCAGGATGTGTTGCTCGAACTCGGCCCTGGTTTCGGAAAGAGCCCACTCGTTGCTCTGACTGCCCTGCCTCCTGGATTCACACGCTTTTTTAGTGTCGAGAGCAAAAATGAAAGCCACACTTTTTTATTAAAGAGGCCCTGCAATACTTTGACTCGCTAATCCCAGATTGCTATATTTATGTGTAATCTCTAAAGTTCAAGCGATGTGATCATACGAGCCATGTGCCTTGCCACCATTGCTGGAACTCTTGGGGTGGGAGAGGGGGACAAGGGGGATAGTACTAACACATTAGCGATGAATTTGCCAAAAGTATTGTCGATCAAGTAAAAAAAATACCCCTAGTGTAAAATTGTGAAAGTCACGCTAAAGAACGAATCCAAAGAGAAAGACCCGGACCAAAACAGGTTATCGCGGCAAAATTTTATTCACACTGCAAAACTATGTTGACCGCTAGGTCACACGCAACAAAAATTTATATAAAGAAGCACGCGTGAGTATCAAAGTAATCACTTTTTAATGCATTTCAGTTCAACAGACGACGTTGCTAGACAGTTGTCACCCGAGTCATGATCTGGCCTGAGAGAGCTACTGCAGTGCAACGTTTACGTGCGAATATCCTGGAGCACAGCTGCACTCTTTGCAGTGCACAGACATATTTCATGATTGTTTTCTCTTCACGGCAGCCGTTAGATCCATGAGGTGATGATATAACGGCGTCCACTAGGGCTTTACACGAGAAACTGAGTGACCCTTGCCCCACAGGGCCGCAGTTGCAATCGGCTGACGCAATTCATCGTCATTTACTTCTTTCTATTTTGCGCCGAAGCTCGCCATTACCTGAGTTTTTGCCCGCACAAGTTTCTCTGACGATTATCGCCGAACGTTTCCCTCGCCTCTACCGCGCCCCCCTGCAGCCGCACGCTGCACGGTGACTGGAACCTTTCCTCGCGGAAATGCACTCACCGGACCGAGCCTCCTCCCCTAACTTCGCCTCATTTTCTCCGTTGCTTCTTCCGACCCCAACAAAGAGAGCGGCCGCGCAACGGGGTCGAAGATGATGAAATTTTGCATCATGCACTCCAACGTCGCAAAGAAACGGTCGCAGCGCGCGAAGTGTCTAGGTTGAGCGACGTGTGCTGTGTTACTTATTCATCCTGGCTGCTATAAGATAGATAGATAGATAGATAGATAGATAGATAGATAGATAGATAGATAGATAGATAGATAGATAGATAGATAGATAGATAGATAGATAGATAGATAGATAGATAGATAGATAGATAGATAGATAGATAGATAGATAGATAGATAGATAGACAGACAGACAGACAGACAGACAGACAGATAGATAGATAGATAGATAGATAGATAGATAGATAGATAGATAGATAGATAGATAGATAGATAGATAGATAGATAGATAGATAGATAGATAGATATGTGAAGTTTAACGTCTCAAAACCACCATATAATTATGAGAGACGCCTTAGTGGAGGGCTCCGGAAATTTCGACCACCTGGGGTTCTTTATCATCATCATCATCATCATCATCATCATCATCATCATCATCATCATCATCATCATCATCATCAGCCTGACTACGTCCACTGCAGGACAAAGGCCTATCCCATGTTCCGCCAGTTAACCCGGTCCTGTGCTTGCTGCTGCCAATTTATACCCGCAAACTTCTTAATCTCATCTGCCCACCTAACCTTCTGTCTCCCCCTAACCCGCTTCCCTTCTCTGGGAATCCAGTTAGTTACCCTTAATGACCAGCGGTTATCCTGTCTACGCGCTACATGCCCGGCACATGTCCATTTCCTCTTCTTTAT